AAAAAAAAAAAACCAAAAAAAAAAAAAAAAAAAAAAAGAACTCTGAAGATCATGCATTTAGATTTAATAAATGAAAGTCCATTTCAAAGAAAAAATTTAAGTGCAAATGTTCTGCCACATGAGAATTGGGGTTCCTGCAAAGGCATTGGCTGTGAAACAAAGTCCTCAGAGACCCATATAACTCACTTGTACTTCTCATTGATGTTGGAAATCCTCCAGGCGTTGTTCATATCAAAACCCATTCTCTCCACTTCATTTTTAAACCTTGACGTTACATGCTCCCCTAGGGGCCAGAGACAGACAGCGGAAAGGAAGAAATTAATACCATTTTCAATAAGGTAGAATGAAAGCATAGTTACCTTGCCCAGTTACATTTTTCTTTAAAAAGGCAGGAATCGTATAAAAACATATGGTTTTATTTTTTAAAAAAGAATTCCGGGGGCCGGCCGGGGGGCGCACTGGATAGTGCGCCGCTTGGGAAGCGCACGTTACATGCTCCCCTAGGGGCCAGAGACAGACAGAGGAAAGGAAGAAATTAATACCATTTTCAATAAGGTAGAATGAAAGCATAGTTACCTTGCCCAGTTACATTTTTCTTTAAAAAGGCAGGAATCGTATAAAAACATATGGTTTTATTTTTTAAAAAAGAATTCCTATCAGGTACAAAGAGGAAAAATATTAATTTTGATCATGAATTATGTTATCTAATCTCTACATATCAACTCTGAGGGCACCATCACTGAGCTCATCTTACAGAGGACAAAACAGACTGAGAGAAGTTACTATGGCAAGTCTGTCTGGCCCCAAAACCCATACTCTTGTCACTATACTGGCTACTATCCTACTTCCACATTCAGACTGATGGTGTACATAATAATAATTTCAATAACAAGATCACCAAGTGTAGTAATATAGATCTACAATTCCTTATTTGAAACCCTTTGGGCCAGATTTCAGAACATAAGCGTTTTCTGGATTTTAGAAAGGTGAGACAGTATATATATTATAATAGGCTCACACTTTAAACACAAAACAGGATGTACTTATTCAGTGAAATGTATGGATAGTCACACCAAGTGGGACAAATAAAGCAACAAATAGCCTCATGTAAGCTCAGATTAAGTCAAGCCACCAAATAAGGTTAAAAAAAAAAAATCCTGATTACAGAATTGCAGGTGAAAGGTCATGGAATCCTAACTGCTAGTACCCAGGGAATCTAAGTAAAATGCTAAGCATTTGTAAGAGCATCCATCCAAATAGACATAATCTGGCTACATCTGCCCTAATAAATTTGGCTATCTCTTCCCAAGGACAGTAACAAAGGGAGAAACGAACCTAGCATAAATGTCAGCAAATCTGAAATAACTATGTTCCATGAAAACACACATAGTCTTAGGGCACTATGAAAAAAAAAAAATTAAGAAGCACCTCTAATATATATAGTGTTACAAGCTGTAAAATAAATGCTGGTGAGTACTGGGAGAAACAACAACAACAACAAATAAAAGCACAAAACAGACTGCTTTGGCGATCAAAGTATAAAGCTCTGCTCTCACTGGGAGAGGAGCTACAGGATAGGAAACAGCTATTACTTGGAATGAAGGACAATTCTATAAAACTACTTCCCATTTAAACTGCTTTTCTTGAGCTTAAGCTGGGTATTATACATTTCCTGAAGAAGAGCTATAAAAAGATGAGGTTCAGAGAGGCAGGAAGAAATAATAGCTGAATCTATTCCATTTTGGAAAAGTTTTAGAAGCAATGTAGCAGGCTTCTAAACAGGAAAAAAGCTATCGAATGGGGTTGCCATCTGTCTACAAATTGCAAGGAATATTGACCATCAAGAATACTACACAGGGAGTCCCAATCTAAAAGCTATAGAGCTGTGACAATTTCCAAGTTCATTAATTAAAGAGAAGATTTTTTTCCCACCCTGGGATATAGTTCCAAGTATTTGCAAAAGGTACGAGTACTTTTATTAACAGTCTTTGACATTAATACTTTGATCTTAGGGTAAACATAGAGAAAACCTAAAAGGATCTTGTAATCTAAAAATAAACACTGGCAAAACAATAACAACAGCAACCACCACCACCACCACCACCAATTTACTACATGGAACCATTACCCAAAGAGCTTAGAACCACCACCCAGAAGATCATGAAATTCTGAGCTACACACAGAGAAATAGGTACTGAGCAGCAGGAGCACAAAATCTGTTATTTCAAGTTACTTGAGAACAAAGAGTTTTAATTATCTTTGTATCCTCTAAAGCAGTGACTTCATTAACTTTGAAAGTGACCATCACAACCCACAATAAGAATTATGTTTTACATCACAATACATGTTTATTTTTTTTAAAAGGCTTTCACAAAACAATATCCACTCTTACTATATGTGTGATATATTTTGGTATTTTCTATTCTACTTCATTTCTTTAAAACTTAATTCCATGATTCACTAGTGGATCACAACCTGCAGTTTGAAAACCACTTGAAAAAAATCTAACAGATCTTACATACATGAATAATTCAATCAGCTTTTGCAAACTGTGTCAGATGTTCACTTATGTTTATTTAGCCAAAAAAGTGAATACAAACACATCTATTGTTGGATTCCCCTTAAGAATTTCCATCTCACAAAAAAAAAAAAAAAAAAAAAAAATAGAAAAAGAGGGGGGAAAAAAAAAAAAAAAAAAAAAAAAGTCCAGGGCCGGCCCGGTGGCGCAATGGATAGTGCGCCGCTTGGGAAGCGCGGGGGCGCTCCCGCCCGAGGGTTCGGATCCCACATACGGACCGGTTCCCGCTCACTGTTTGAGCAAGGCGCGGGAGCAACGCCGAGGGTTGCGATCCCGTTGCCGGTCCCTGGTCCGGTACGGGGGCAACACTGAGGGTTGCGATCCGTTGCCGGACACGGAAAAAGACAAAAGACAAAAAAAAAAAAAAGAATTTCCATCTCAGATATCGCATAATCAATTCAACATTAGATATGTTGTAATGTTCCAACTTGTTTTAAATATTGAGGCCTTAAGGTTTTCATTTGACTTTATACTTCCATTTCAACCCTTCCTGTCTGCCTCTCCCAACCCCAAATGGGGATTTGTCCCTTTTCAACATCTAGTATTTCTTGTACTACAAACACACACAGTCCAGCAATTCTCATTTTAGTGGAAATGAAAACTTTTTTAAAGCAACAAGCTCCCTCTATCACAACCACAGCGCCGATCGGCAGACTAAAAAATCTTTCCCCAAAAAAGTCTAGCTTTTGGCTGATTCTGAGTGTGCAAGCCCATAATTACACACAGCTTAAAGGCCTGGGATAAAAGGAACAGACCTTTACTGGGCACGTGTGGGAGAAGACTGTATCAGAGTCAGAATAACTGAGAGCTAGCCCTCCCAGATTTTCAAATATGGAGGGAAGAACATTCTTTTCTATGTACAAAGGCCTCAGTAAGTCCTCTAAATGCATACTTCCTGGACTGTATTCAAACCCAGAAGACAGATAAATAGGCAGCTGAACAACAGTACAAAACCTGGAGTCATATGCTGTTCATGGTTAAACAAGATGTGCTTAATAGACGTTTCTTACAAGAGAGGTCATGGAGGTAGGCCTGTTGCTACTAAACTAGCAGCTAAATTGCCTAGTGATCTGTTAGGACCCCAGATTAAAGCTCTAGCACAGAGCCATCAACAAGAAGCTAGCCGCAATGAATAGGACGTTGAGGACATGGGAGAGAAGCTTTGAGCTGTAAGTCCTCTCTTTTTTTAGAGTTTGAGATGGGGCTAAGAGTAGAGTCAAGAGTTTGGCAAAAGGCTTTTGCAGGTTTCACAGGTGAACTCCAATAACAATGTTGATATTTCTTCCAAAGCTAATTAAGACCTAGATCTGTAGCCACAGTATGGCTGGCTTAACTATGACAGCTTCAATAGCTAGCAACTAAGATTTATATGAATACTGAGGCGATGATGTAATTTTCCCATCTTCCTCCTGATACTCTCAACAGGCTAGGTGGAGGAGAATCCATAAAAGGTCTCATTAACTGCTGAAAGACTAAACTAACTTCTATCCCTCAGAGCCTATGCTTGTGATCTCATGTACTGGGGCAGATTATACAAAGGCATCACTTTGAAATATCTCAAGTGTTCTCTTACCCTAACGATGACTTATAAGAATGTGATTGTCTGGTATGCTCATACTTGGTGAGTAATGCTGTAGCCACCACCAACATTCAACAATATCGGGTGGAGACAGAAGAACTAGGTTGACTGGCTTTAAAAAAAAAATGCCACAGTATTTTTTTTATTAAAAGCATGTTTTCCCTCTGTACTCCAAAGTGAAAATATGTAAAAAGAAAAAGCTATCCATACACACACACTCAAACTAAGTCACTGAGATACAGTAAGACTTCATGTGAGTGGTGGCAGATTAACTCCAGCATGTACTGTGAATCTTGGGAAGAAACAAAATGTAACCTTTACTCACAGAGTACTTTCCAACCTTGCAGTTGCATAATTTCCAAAGTGTTTTCACAAGCATGGCACACAGGAAGCACTCAAACACATTTACTGAATTCAACTCTGCAGTATTAACTGGTCTGATCTTCGGAATACCCAGATCAGTTTGGGTAAGAAGAGCATGAATGTCCCAGTTTGAAGAACAAAGTAAACTAGAGCAAAGAAAGGTTAAATGGCTTGCCCAGTGTTATTTTTTCAATTAAATAGTACGTGGGTTTGAATTCTGATTTTTTAATTCTTAAATCAGTACTTTACCACCGCCCCCCACATGTCCCCATGCATCACAAACCAACAAAAAGACAGTGGACACTGTGGATATCTCTATGTCCTGGTGACCAAAGAATACCAAATATCAAGGGCTTGGGGACCAAACCCACCCATAATTAAAAGACAAGACAAATCCCAGGACAAAGCCACCCGTAATTAAGAGTGAGGTTCTGACTTGGCACGTCTTAGAAATATTTTAAGAGTTGGCTCAAAACCAAAAGATACAATTAAAATTATCAATGGAATAAAAAAGTCCTCTGAAAAAGATGAATACTTTTCAGTCTATGGTTGAGAGAGAACAGAATAGGAGAAAGCAGGCCTGTTGACTAAATGCTGGCAACCCAAAAGTGGGAAATGCCTCTTGGAGTCAGGGGTCTTAAACAAATCAGAGTTCTTATATAACATGATGTAGCAGGTTTCACTCATTAAATTAATTATCCTAGGAGATGACAGAGACTAAAAATTTAGTAAATAAGATACAACGGTTAAAAATTCAGCAAATGTGTATGTAAGATTTGTGCACTTCATTGTCTGTAAACTTTACCTTTAAAAAAGAAAACCCAAAACTTTGAAAAGAGCCATAAGCAAACATCCTCCAAAATAGATTTAAAATGTGACAGCCCCTCAATAAAGACAAAAAAGAAAGAGATGCAATGGTTAAGAGAGTAAGATGAAAGACAGTGTAAGCACACTACCATAAACTTCCAAGGTTTGTGTGGTCTCTTGTGGATGACTTTGGATTCCACTGCCCCGATAGGCTCATGAGAAGTTTGGATTCTGAAGCTTTCCCTGAGGCTCCATGAGGGCAGGTGCTTCTGTTTTTAAGCTCTGTATCCACAGCATCCCACACAGTCAGCTCTCAGTATACTGGGAGCTGCTTTTTAAGTCCTAGCTCTGTAACTGACTAGCAGTGGAACTTGGCAACAGGCTTTTACCTCTGAATATTCTTTCCTTTGGCTCCCAAAATAGACACCAAACTTTCCCAGCCTATTTAATGAGGTCATGAAGATCAAAGAAAGTATATATATCAAAGCATCTTTAAAAATAAGATAATGCTTGGGCCGGCCCGGTGGCGCACTCGGTAGAGTGTGGCGCTTGGGAGCGCAGCGGCACTCCCGCCGAGGGTTCGGATCCCATATAGAGACCAGTCCGCTCACTGGTTGAGCGTGGTGCGGGCGCGACACCGAGGGGTTGCGATCCTGTTGCCGGTCACGGTAGGGGGCGACACTGAGGGTTGCGATCCCGTTACCGGTCACGAAAAAAGACAAAAAGGAAAAAAATAATAATAATAACATAATGCTTATATCTGTTATAAGCTTTTTAATTAAACAGAACAAGAATCTGAACCAAAAGTTTCAATCAGTGATTGTCCAGAAACAAAGTAATATAAGCAAAGCTAGATTAGCCTCAAATGTTTAAAATGACCCAGAGCAGATTGATAAGACTCAAGATTCAGGATTAAAATTTCAGGTTTAATGAAAAAAGTCCAAAGAGTAAACTTTACTTGAAAGGCTCACAACTCTTTACTGCTTAGAAATTCAAGACTTTGCTTCTAAGCCTGACACACTAAAGAGTCAGTTTGAACCAGCAAAGTCATATTTATGGCAGCATAAAATTTACAGAAAACTACATGCAGAGAAATAACATGAACTTGGCCAAAGCCATTTCTGAGGAGAAAGACAGTGAATGGACTTAGACAACACGAGAAGTCAGGAAGCCTGGTTCCAGTATAGGTTTAGCGTCTCTATTTGTCCTTGAGGAAGGAACCTAGCCTCTCTGGACCTCTGTTTCTTCACCTATGGGATTAAATGAGTGACAACAGGTAAGCTATGATCTGAAAATCCTAAAATAGCAAAAAGCCATTTTGCATTCCACTATTCTACAGACTATCTACATCTCTGTACCTTTGCTCATGCTAGTTGCTCTGCTAATGTTCTTTTCCCCATTGCCTAATCAATAAACTCCTATTCAGCCTTCCTCAAAAAGCTACTTCTAATGCTCTTCCAAACATGTACACAAAACTCATAGCTCCTTTCCATTAGGCTTCCCTAATACCCACGAAACTGTATTATAGTTGTTTTTAGGCCTAGTAGATTGTGATGCCAAATTTAGTGTTCTTCCCTTTCCCTGGAAGGCAGGAAACTTGTTCTATTAAGCTTAGAAGAATAACGGACACAAGCTAGATGCTTCATAAAATACACACTGATTTAATACATGAATGCTTAAGTGTCCCAATTCATGTTAAAGTTACCTCCACCAGGAGCTTGACAAAGCTCCTGGCCATCTGCACACTTTAGAAAGGCCTACCTGGTCTGCACAGGTCTCCATGTTGCTCTTTTTCACTGGCATAGACCTCCATGCACCAAGCGTGGTACGCAAATGAGAAGAGATCTTCTATTTTAGCAGGTGGTCTTATTGCATTGTTCAGTCTCTTCAGCCACTCTTGACACTGCTCAAAGGTTGAGAACTGACACCTTTATAAAGCCGAACAAGTATGAATGTCATCAGAAAACAGCTGACAATGAAATCTAAGAAAAGCCATTAGTCTAGAGTCCCGACTCATAGTGTAGTGGCAACTACAATCAAGAAAGCATCAGAGGCAGTCATTCACATACTTATTATCATTTATAATAAAAACAGGTCCAATAAATTTTGGGCAATGGTGCAAATGTCAAAAAGAGGAAAGTTGGACGTGTGGAAACCTATTTTTTTTAGACTAACAAAATCTTTTCTTTTTTTTTTTTTTTTTTTTCCTTTTTGTCTTTTTTCGTGTCCAGCAACGGATCGCAACCCTCAGTGTCACGCCCATACCGGACTGGGACCGGCAACGGGATCGCAACCCTTGGCATTGCGGCCGCACCTCGCTCAGCCAGTGAGCGGGAACCAGTCTGTACGTGGGATCCGAACCCTCGGCGGGAGCGCCACCGCACTCCCAAGCGGCGCACTGTAGCAGTGCGCCACCGGGCCAGCCCCTAACAAAATCTTTTCTGATATCAATTAATAATGATTGTTAAAGTAAAGTGGTACTTATTCTCTTTCATGAAGGGCGTTTTATTCTACTTCTTCCATCAAAGTTTTATAGTTGTCCCTCTCAAGAAACACATGTTAAAAAGGCCTTTTTGTTATGACTATTAGGACAAACTAAAAAATAAACCACAACACTACTTTTAGCCAGTTAGAAAGTAATTTCAAAATTTGTCTATTTAGCAGTTAGGACAAATCAGGATTCAAAATAAAATAGATTATGAAACTTTCAGTTATGACCACGTAGAGAACAAAACAATTCTATTATCAATTGCAATTTTCAGTATATATAACTAAGGTGTTAAAATAATTAGTGCAAACTGGTTTATTGAGGATTTGTTTAAATACTTTGCCTTTCTGAATTTAGTGGTAAAAACTGAGTAATAAGCAAGCTTTTTAAACTGTGAGTTGTAGTATTTATCAAAAGCAAGCCAAATCTCACTGGCTAAAGAGCAACTTAAATATTTACCTTAATACCAAGGGGATCACTTAAACTTCTCCCTCATCCCAATCAATGTGGCTCATCAATATGCCAACACATAATATGTACTGGCACCCCAGAGCAGTCAAAGGGATAAAATAAAACTTTGCAGAACTTAAAACGTCTACAGGTACTAAATGTAAAAACACATTTCAGGTATCATTTTGCAACCATTACAGTTAATATTAAATCAGACAAAAATCACCAATGTACACTAAACTTATGGAGAAATTCTGATGAGAAGGACATCTCACTGTTTCAAAGTGCCTCCCATAGTCTGTTTATTAACTGATTGAGGAAACATTGGACAAATACAAAATGAGAAACATTCTATTAAAACAAAACACTATATTCTTCAAAATGTGAATGTCATAAAAGACAAACAAAAGCTGTGGAAAATGTTCCAGATTAAGGAAAGCTACAGAGTAATGGCAGTTAAATTTAATATCTGACCTAGACTGGATCCTGTACTACTGAGGTGAGGATGGGGGAGAATGCTAGAAAAGACATCAGGTCAACTGACAAAACCAGACCATCAATAGTAGATTGGATAAAAGTATTATCAAAGTAAAACTGAAGTTGATAATGATGCTGTGGTTATATAAGAAAATATCCCTTTTCTTAAGAAAGCACACTACAGTATTTCGGGGTTAAGAGTCATGATTATGTAACTTAAACTGTTCAGGAAAAGAAACACACACGCACGCGCGCGCGCGGGGGGGGGGGGGGGGGGGAGGGGGGGGGGGGGGGGTGATAAAGAGAGAGAAGGCCTCCGAAAAGGATAAAGCAAATGGGAGTAAAGTGTTAACAACAGGTGAATCTGGGAAAGAGTAAATGAGGGGTCTTCAAAATGTTCACAGAAAGATTCATATTACCTTTTAATTCCATTTTTCTACAAATTTTTTGAAGTACCCCCATACTAGTGTCCTCTGAATTATTTTTATTTTGCACTATTTTTTATAAATTTAAAATTGAGGCATCAGCTACTCAGAAAATATTCCTAACAAGGCTTAACCCTCAAAAGGTGTTTTGCTAAGTTACAAAACCATGGATCCATTCTTTAAAAAATATTTTCCACACTGAACAGCAGCACGAACATACCACATACCTGATAACTTTGCAGTCTTTGCAGGTCAAATGAAGCTGAAATATATCTCGGCATTCAACACTTTCTATAAGTTGTAACGGAACCTGCAATTAAAAAAGACAAAGTCTCCTTAGTCAAAATAGCATTGACCCTGCAGTTCTTCAACGAGTTCAAGACTGATTAGAAAGATCTACAGGGGAAAGAAGCAAATAGAACTGCAAATGTATCTGGATCTATAGCACTCAAGAGATTTACTACAGAGTGAATTAGGGCTCTCCTTTATCTAAATCAATGACCTCAAGTCGTGTCATAGCACAAAGACAACGAACAAAAAGAAGGTACCACTTCTGGAAGAACAGGGGAATATATCTCTTGGGCATCAAACTCACAAGCTCATATTTAAAAGTACTACTTTTAGACACTGTAGCTGACTATGATTTGCAATGACACAGAAGCTGAAGGGGAACCAGAATGATAATCCTGTCTTGCTTACAGAAAACTACAGATCAGAGTGCAAGTGGGACTATAGCTGTTATTTGCCCCAATGACAGAGTAGGCAAATGGTTTAGTTAGCATTGGCAAAGGGGGCTCCTAAAAAAGGCTGGCGATCTAAACTGCTTGTGGGTTGCACAGAAAAGACAATAGGACAGCAGCTGCTGGTCAGGCTCTCTGATCAGTAGAATAGACTCACGGTATCAAGAAGGAGGGAAAAGGCCACACAGTGGTCAAAGATTCTAAAATTAGCTGGGTCTGACTTGCTTCTAAAGACCAGTTGAGGAACCCTGTTTGCCAAGTGGGACTTGAGATCTGAACAAGGTGGAATATAGTTCCCTCCCTGTCAATCTAGTCAGCAGACTCTACTGAACACAGGATTATGTACAATAGTGGATAGAGATCAGAGAAGGGAAAAAGACAGGAGGAAAGCATCTGAACAGGATGCCAAATCCTCCCATCTCTCAAATCATCCTGACTCAATCCCTGGCTTCAAAAACCAACTTCCAAATCTTCAAAACAGAGCCTCATAATGTAATAATGGATACTCTTATTCCTTGGAAAAGGGGTGGACCACTTGTCTCTTACACTGTATCAAGCCCAGCCAATATGTGGCTCTGGGAGTTGCAAGCAGCATTCCAACGATTTGTGTTTAGCATGAGAAGAGGGAGGCAAGTCTCCTCCACCGCAGAAATGAGAGTGCTGCCTGCACAGGGTGGCCCTCGTGTTAGCTGAGCCAGTTTCAGGAACAGACTTCCTGTAAACCCTGCCCCACCAGGCAGCTGCCAGAGTCAGCAAAGAACTTTCAGAACAAGGATGCAGGGATCAAAAGGAAGTCAGTGCTGGAAGTCAGGGACAAAGAAACAGAAACTAGGGCAGGGATTATAGAAGAGAACAAACCAAAATAATATTACTCATATAAATGGCTGGGAGTTTCTAACTCAGGACTAAAGCTTTCTTGCTTCTAAGTCTATAATCAATAAAACTTCCCTTACAATTATAATAGGACTGGGAGTAAGAGAAAGACTAAGAAATCTTGCCTGTGTTCTGAGAAAAAAGGAGCTTTTGGCCCTCTGTTTTTAAGTCCTTAACCCCAAGGTGCTGTGAGAAACTGCAGCTGATGCGGCTAAAAATTCTTTCAAGACCTGTACATCTAAGAAGAAAAACAAAAAACAATGTATCAGTGGAGATAAATTATAAAGGAGGAATATGGAGATTAAGAAGATAGACGACACTGATTTGTTCTCAGGCCAGTCCTTTGGGTGACCTGTAACAGACTCTTTTTTTTGTTTTTGTTAATGTACTCCTGCTAACTACCTTATTCCCCCTTACCCCCCCAAAAAAGTGGCTGCCAGACTGGCAATCAAGAGACCTGAGTTCTAGTCCCAATTTACTAAAATTTTACCAATTAAAATTCTGCCTGCTTCCTGGTTTCCTTGGGTGAGCCTCCAGACTTCCCATATGCCACCAGCCTCTGTTTTCTGAACCTCAGGTGGTCACAACTTAGGAAGTCTCAGGCACAGGGCCTGGAAGGGCCTGGGGTGGAGTGAAATTGAGTGCTCATATGGAGAGACTGCTCTCCCAGCAACCCAGGTCCTCTTTGATTGCATTTCCTTACAGCTAGAAAAGGTGAAAACAAGCGAATGCTGTTAGCAGCTGCCAGAGGGAATGGATCAGCCTGTGCTACTTTGCTACAAAGAACAGATAGGTTTTACATCCCTGCTACTAGGCCAGAGCCCAAGGGCCTGTGCCCAAAGATAATAAAACACCTCAGAGAATGCAAAATATTTGCTACCTAAAACGCATTCAATATACAAATTTTCATGTATTTAACATTACAAAAAATTTAAGGAAGAATAAAAATGTTGGTTCTATATGTTCAAATCAAATTACAAATACTAGGCAAGTCGCCAAAACAACCATGTGTACCCAAGTCATAGATATGGAGAACAGCAGATTTTAATACTCATGCAGATTGTCACACGCAGGAAAGTTTAATATGCAGCAAGAATACAGACATATAAAAGAGAGACACCAGATTTTGTATCAAATGTGTATCTCCCTTTTTGCTTCTCCTTTCTACCCCAGTATTCCCCCTTCAGTGCTCCCTCCACAGATTGCCTCCTCTTCTAACAAGGCAGAACTGGCCTTCTTTTCTTCTTCATAGATACAACGAAAACATAGTAAGTTTTTCTACTTTTTTAAGGCCCACTCTATTGTGTTAGGTTTCTCAACTTTCCTTACATATGAAAAGGATCTCTTAACATTTTTGTAACTAGACATACCAAATATTCAACTTTATAAGCAAAGAATTACAGATTCAAGGGCCAGTCCATTTTATAGCCCAGAAAGGTTAAACCACTATACTGTAAACTAGCAGCACAGTCAGGAATAGAATCCTGTCTGTCCTCTAGCCTGGGCTCCTTCCATCACATATGGTGTGACTTTCTTCCTCTGAGATTGCCCTTCTCTTCTGTATGAGCTCCACATTAGTTTTTCTTTCACAAATAAGTGGCCTCTCCACCAGGGATTTTCGAGGGGAAAACAGAATTTAAACCAAGATTCCTTAGAGGCAATTTCATCCATAGAAGAGTAGTAAGAAATCTAAAATGACTTTCGAATCCTCTCCACAGTGTGTCATAGCAACTCACTTTCTTTTTTGCTCCTTTCTCCTCTATCTTCTCCCTGCCAGGTAATCTCCCTTTACAATTCTTTTCCTATTATAAGTTCCACCAAACTCATGCTCAAACAACGCATCAAAACACATTCCGTGCTGTTAATCAATTCCTCAAAAGGCCAAAAATTACATACATCACAGGCACCAAAACCCATAAGAGCATCAATCCAAAAAAGCAGAAGAGCAGCAGTGAAAAAATTTAATAGGCATGCATAGGTATTAAAGATCCACAATACCGTCACATTCCAGAGGGATCTGAGTATACCCTACTATATTTACCTCAATTCATTCTGTGTGTGTGTGTGCATGCATGTGTATTATTTTTAAGCACTAGAATGTAGAAGTGGGATAATTTCTATTTTTTAAAAAACAACTGCCCTTTTTATAGCATGAATGGGAAGTGCTAATCTTGTATACAAATCTGAAGTAAAAATGGCAGTAACAGAGTGAAAATAAAGCAAGTAATGAGTCTAAAACTAAAATCTATAAACTGTGGAATATCTGGGGACTAGATCTTTTTCACTTAAAACCAAACAGAGGAAGAAGACTGTCACAGACTGAAAACCCAAATTCTTTATTGATCACTTTTGACATCTGCAAGCTACCCCTCCAGCAATGGTTTCAGAGGCCTCTACTGGTGTATCAATACAAGGCCAAAGTACATTAAGTGTTAGACAATAACCTGCTTCTGGTGCATGGGAAATGAAGATTGATTGCTGTACTACAGTTAGACAATGGGAAAATGTGAAGAAATGCTAAGGAAAGGTGTGTCCAGCTGCCACATTTCTACCATTTTCCTAAGAAACATTGACAGATTAGCCTGGAAACAGAAGTTTCAATGTCCTCTTAAATACTAATGTTGATTTTAACAAATTATTTCTGGTTGAAACTCAGTCTACATTTTTGAAAGTCACACAATTCCATCAGCTTATGCATAAACTGTGGGGCTTTATCCTCATCTCACAAATTGTTCTCACTGTAGCATACCACTAGAACTTTGGTAAGAGATAAGAGACTCATGCAGAAAGGACACATTCTGATTTGCAAGGTGAGCATCTGACACTCAAAACCAATTTTTTCCAAGCACAGGTACAGCAACCACTTAGGATTCCCATGCTACTTACTGGGATTTCAGAAGCAGCAGATTGAGAAGCAGTCTATTAAATTATACAACAAAAATTGTTTCAAACTTTCATGAATTCCACTTAACTTACTTGTTTATAAATTATCTAAGCTTCAAATAAATAACCTGTATATATGCAGAAATATAGTTTGGGAAAAGCACAGAATGGGAGCAAGTCATACCTTAAATGCCACAAATAAACTCTACTACAGAGGTTCTTTATCCTAGGAATTGGAAACTTGATATTCAGTGAATGTCTGTGTATTAAAGTAATGACGTTTATGGTATCTAAATATATAGGTATATTTTACTCAACATGCTGTAAAATTTAAAAAGAATATGTGATATCAGGTAGCTATTTAAAATTTGATAAGTCATTTTCAAAAGTGCTAACTGTGCTGATTTAGGCATATAAATGATGCAAACTCAGGCACGCTACAACATCTACCAGGTACATTTGAGCTTTGATGGTTCAGATGTGTTTGATTTAGATATAGTAATCTCTATCTATAGTAACTTTTAAAGGGAGCCTCTTAATCTCACATATTTTATTAAAATACTTATCTGCTGAGGGAAGAAAAGAGGGAAGGAGAAGCAATGACAACACCAACTCTCTGGTTTCCATCCAGGACCTGATTCAGGAGGAGCCACTACTTCCTGGATTAACCCCAGGTTTGAGGAATCTTAGTACTAACTGATGAGGTTAATATATTTTGTATGGATAAGTTCTAATCTCCATATGTTTACGAAATGTTTAAAGTTACTGCAATGTCAAACTACTTTTGCATAATCATTTTTCTGTGCAAAGCCATTATCTTGGGCTTTTTAAGTGACAAGCAGGCTCTATGCCTTAGAGAGTTATAATGCTAACAGAAAACACTTTTAGGGCTGACCCCGTGGCTCACTCGGGAGAGTGCAGCGCTGGGAGCGCGGCGACGCTCCCGCCGCGGGTTCGGATCCTATATGGGAATGGCCGGTGCACTCACTGGCTGAGCGCGGTGTGGGCGACACCACACCACGGGTTGCAATCCCCTTACCGGTCACGAAAAAGACAAAAAAAAAAAAAAAAAGAAAGAAAGAAAGAAAACACTTTTAGATAAAGAAACAGATAAAAAATAAGAGCAATGATAAATTTCCATAAGCATTTTATCTCAATCACAACAGGGGACCAACAACTCCAGTGAACAATCTACTCACACAGCTACCATTTGAGACCATGATGACACGGGCCTATTTACACAGAAATATACTGTTCTAAAATGAGCTTTAAATCCAAAAGGGGGGAAATGGCTTATTGTCCACTTCAAACCTATATTAACTTCAATACATTTAATATTTAAAGAATATCATGGCACCAGGAGACATGCTGGATCCTGAAGACACAAAGATGAATAACCAAAAAATTACAACATAGCTGGTAAATGTTGTAAAAGTATGTTCAAGATACAAAAGAAGCCAGGAGAGTAAAATTAACCAGGGAGGGAACTGGGACTGAGAAAGGCTTCACAGAAGAAGTTATCGCCTGAACTGAATTTTAACAGATGACGAGAAGTTCCCTGGGCAGGAAAGAAGAGACAGAGTGCAGATGTGTGAGGTATGGCTGAATAGTTCAAGGAGGCTAGTTTTATGAGTACAAAGAGGAAAAGGGGAAAAGGAGGAGGCAGACAGAACAACTGGCAGAGACCAAGGATCACAGTCTCATACCATGCTAGATAATTTTGATCTTCATCACAGAAGTAGTAAAAATTAAAAAAAAAAATTTTTTTAATTTTAAAAACTGAAAAGCTTTACACTGATGAATGGCATGGTCAGTTCCACACTTTCTTTCCAACAGACCCTATTCCCAAATAGATCTAAAAATAGTTTCTGAAATACTCGGCCATAAACCAGTAAGCTCATAAACAGGGTATGATATGGGAAAAATGTAATGATATAAAATTATATCATTCCCACGTGCAATTTAATTACAATTTCATTGATTCCAGCCATTTAAACAACACAAAATTAAATCAAAACTGTCATTAATTCCACAGTAGCTGGTGGGGAATTTTTGGTTTCTGGGATTTTATAGTAGTTTCCACCCTTTCCCCTCCCATCACAACCACTCAAATCCAAATGGATTAACACAGTGCTATATGTTATGAAAGAATAGCATTACCCCTTTCCTTGATGGCTCTGGTGTGAACTTTTATCTGATTGACGGAAAACTGACATAATGGTTATGACTATAGCCCAAATCTAGAAGCCAGAAGGAAACTGGGCCAAATGGCTCCTAGACATAATTGCTTAACTACAAAAAATAATAAATGCCAACTACAAAGAAAATGGCAGCTACTGGGTCTTGACAAATGAAAGAATGTGACTGAGAAGCTGGGCAACTTTTGGACTGCTCAGTAAAATGAACAAAAGTGACAGATTTCAAAGAATCCCCAAATGAACCCCAAACTCACAATCTGAATGGGGGAATAGTTCTGAGCTATTACAAGGTGTCATAATACATTTCTATGAGCTAGAACTGAAGTGAAGAAAGCCAAAGCACTGGCAAGCAAAGAAGGCGGCATTCATTTGGTGGGAGCACATGAATTTTCAAGACTTTGTGTGTTTTACTCTAGACTACAGTGTGCTGGAAGAACCAGTTCACTGAGAGGACCCTCAGTAACTGAGGGTCCCTCATAACTGAGAAAGGGTAAATGCACCCTTGAGAATGGAGACCTTCCTTTTCCTCAGTAACATAGAGTCCATTAGGCAAATAAACACTGTACTTAACACCTATACTTATACCACTAAGGAGCCATTAAGTAACTTCATCCTATAATGAGAGTCTACAGTGAGCTCAAAGTATATCTCATCACGGGCCGGCCCAGTGGCGCACTGGAGAGTGCACCGCTTGGGAGTGCGGCGGCGCTCCCGCCGAGGGTTTGGATCCCATGTGGAGACCAGTTCCCGCTCACTGGCTGAGCGTGGTGCGGGCGCAACACCAAGGGTTGCGATCCCGTTGCCGGTCTCTCCGGTACGGGCATGACACCGAGAGTTGCGATCCCGTTACCAGTCAGTAAAAAAGACAAAAAGGAAAAAAAAAAAAGTATATCTCATCATTTGACATTAAGGCCCAGGAAATTATCTCAACTGAAGCAGTTAGTAACTATTAAAGATTGAGGAATGAAAACCTATTCAGACTTTGTACCTTTGTAAAACTTAATGTTACAGCATTACCTGGTACAAATCGTTCAGTGTTAACCAAACAATGGATACCTCAACTAACAACTATATGCATCATTTTATCAAGCATAAGAGTTGCTTGCTAACCTAGTGTCCCTTGAGTGCTAAATTAAGTGAGAAAAGCAGAGCACACAATGCTTCCACCCTCACTCTGTATAACTCTTCTCTCTTCAAAAACATTAATAAGTTTTCCAACTTCCTTTCCCCATTTTATTTAGACAGAGAACAGTTGGTAATCACTTACATTAACAAGAGACTCCTTGAACTTGATGTGAAGTCTGTAATTAGAAAGGGCAATGATGGCATCCTCAGCACGGCCCACGTACTCTGTGCTCTCTCCATGAAGTTCAAGGAAAGGAACCTTCAAAATGGAAGAAGAAACCCTTCAGAGTTCTGAAGCAGTAAAGCAAAGTCTTCAAACACAGGTCAGGCTAACTTACCATTGTAAATCCTCTGTCACCCAAGTTTGAAACACAGTATGTAAGTAGGTTAGAAACCTAAAGAGGATGGGTTGATACCTAAGAGGATGGGTTGACTACTAAAGTAATAACAAGGAGAAGATCATCCAAACAGTGAATTCTCAGGAACTAAGTCTTGCTAAAATGAGAGATATTTTCCAGCTTACATTTCTACTATGTATATGATTAATTAAAAATATATACATTATATAGTAGTACATTACTTCAATCTATTAGTTCTGCCACATAGTTACTATGATGCTAAATACATATTTTACAATCAAAAGTGGCCTGTAATTACCTGAAGATTCTCATCCTCCCGGATCAGCTGCTTCCTGGGAAAGATCTGATTGGCCTGGATGCATTCAAGACTGTGCCGAATCTCTTCATCCTGGAAAAATCCAAAACCTTAAAATAATTTCAAAGCTTCTAGTCATCCACATTCGGTTTTTCTGCCATGTCTACTAGTATAATCATCAGAGTCTGATGACCAAGGTGAACAAACAGAAAAGCTCAGGAAAAAAAAAATTCATCCACAGAAGTGTTCTATCCAATACATTAGGTGCCTCTAGTCTGAGAACACATGGATGCAAAAAATGTCAAAGAGATTAGAACATTTCTATTAAGCACTAATAGGTTATTAGTACATTACTTTTAAGAGAAACCAAGGTATAGTGCTTTTTTTCTCTTTAAGTTCCAATCTTAAATTCTTATTTTTGTGAGATACATACCGAATTACTTAAGAATGAAATGTAATGTCTAGAATTTGCTTCAAAATAATGTTGGGGGATGTTAAGAAGGAAATGAGTGGGGTGTAAATTAAACAGAATTGTCCATGAACTGATAATTAATGAAACCGGGTAACTGGGAGTTCACTATACCACTGTATCTACTTTAGTTATATGAAAAATTTCCATAATAGAAAGCTTGAAAAAGGTTAAGCTTAAGAACTAAATTTCCCAAACTGAAAACATGTGTGAACTACTACCCCTAGTTAACTCTACTTTATATTACAAAATAGATCTATTTCTGTTAAGGCAATTTCAAAAGAAAAAGCAATTAACTGAAGTGCCATTTAGATGAGAATTTATTATAAATTTGTATACAAAATTAATCTTTTACACTATGAATTTTTGTTATAGGAAGACATGAGAAATGCAATCTATTAAAAAGCCTGACTATAAATTATAATGGAATCTGTTTACACAGTAATTTTTATACAAGCAAAAGCCATATCACGTTCAACCGACAGCACTGAGAATTATAACCACAAGTTAGCAGACATTTCTGCATATGCTACTTACTACAATTCCAACAATTTTGTAAATCTCCCCAGAGAGAGAGAGAGAAAACTCTACCTATAAACAACATTGTAAGGTTTTACCAAACAGCAACCATAATCATGAAATGGTAATACTCTACTAGTATGGTTCTCAAACTGAAGTCCAAAGATTATGAGACCCTTACAAGGGTTCTGTAAGTCACAACCACCTTCACAATAATACTGAGACATCACCTGCCTTTTTTCACTATGTTGACATTTGTATTATTAGTGCAAAAAGAACTGGTGGGTAGGCGGTGGGATCAATTTCACTAAAAATGACCTTGATGAAGCAGGAAAAAATTATATATTTTATTAAATCTTGACTCTTCAATAGAAGTCTTTTTATATAGTAAATACATGTGTTATGGTTGTCTCATGGTAAACACTTGTACAAGTGTTTCAATTACAAGCTGAGCTAGCAACTTTTTTATTAAATACCATTTTTAATTGGAAGAACAAGTGATGGACAAACTATGGTAATTCAAACTTGGGTATTTGGTAGATCTATTCTCCAAATGACAGTGTTAGTTGCCAAGATAAAAGCTTTTATGAAAGAATTTAGAATTTTGAGAAACCTCTCATCTGCCACCATGGATTTGACACCTTCCCAATACTTAAGGCTTTTATGACAAAACTGGTGGAGATATTATCAAATGTGATTTTTTAAAAATACTATATGATGAAATATGTCAACATTTGAAAAACATGCTTTACTCAATGAATCCGTTATCTTCCTAAGACCAATGTATAATGGTACAAAACCATGCATGGATAAAAGAGCCAATCAAAGTACAAGACAGACCAATAGTTTTAATGTAACATAATACCAAAAGTTCACTGATATGGTTTCGGATTCCACACTGCAGCTAAACTTTAGGGAACTACTACTTGTCAAGTTTTGGTATAGTATTAAAGAAAAATATACATAATTACCTGGGGAAACTATTAAAATACTCTTCCCTTTTCTAACTACATATCTCAGTGAAGCTGCATTTTCTTCATATATTTCAAACAACATATTATAACAGGATGAATGCAGATATGAGAACCCAGCTGTCATCTATTATTAAGCCAAGCATTAAGAGATTTGCAAAAATATAAAACAATGCCACCTTTACACTAATTAGTTTTGGGTGAGGAAAAATAGTTATTTTCCATCAAAACTGTTATTTATGTTACCATGTAATTGGTTTGTTATTGTTATTTTTTAATGAATTGATGAGCATTTTAAAGATTTCTCAATTTTAATTTCTAATATGGTAAATACAGATAGACAACCCACATAAACAAACCCTCTTAGAGGTGCCCAATAGGCCGGCCCGTGGCTCACTCAGTAGAGTGCAGTGCTGATAACACCAAGGCCACGGGTTCGGATCCTATATAGGGATGGCCGGTTTGCTCACTGGCTGAGCGTGGTGTTGACAACACCAAGCCAAGGGTTGAGATCCCCTTACCGGTCATCTATTAAAAAAAAAAAAAAAAAAAAAAGAGGTGCCCAATAATTTAAGAATGTAGAAAGAAGTCCTGAGACCAAAGAGTTTCAGAACTGCTGCTCTACTATAATACTGAATGCCAATTAAAGCTTTTTCATTTGAAAACTCAAGCTTTCCCTAAAACCATTTACCTAGGGCTAATCTATGAATATGAAAAGCCATAAAGATGTGAACAACTACCACCCCACCCACCTGCCACTGGGCCCATCTCAGACCTTCCACAGGGCCATTTTATCTTAAGGCACAAGTTTTTCAAGAGCCTTTTTTCAAAGTTTGATATTTAAAATTTAGAAAGAAATGAGTGGCTTCAAATTATAAAAATAAAACTGTAACAACTTTAGAAATGATTCATGAAATGCTATGAAAAATTACAAAACTTTAGTCGTTACTAAATATAGACTTTTATTATAATACTTGAAAGCAAACTGTACGTGTCACTCATTTCCCTAGGATTGCAAGGTATTTACCATGATTGTTAAGAAGTTATAGCTGATAATAAAATAATTTCAAAAGCAAAATTACAAAAATCTTTTCAGTTTATTATATAGCCCCACCCCCCCAAAAAAAAGTTTAATGAAATTGGTGGATTTTAGTAAGGCTGATATGATGTAGCCTGGGGGTCTCCAAAAGTGTGATTACCTACGGTGTACAAAGGTCTGTAAATGGCTCCATTGTTATAAGCACCAAGATCACTTGTTAGATGAAAAGCTTTATGTCAGTCTGTACCACTTTATCCCTTTCCACTCATTTCCTCTGAAGTTAATGAATGGGTGAAGGAATAATAAGGGACAGAGCCACATCTGAAAGAAACCCACTACTACATCTAAGTGCTAGCCTTTGGGGGTTTTGTTGTTGTTGTTGCTGTTTTTAAACAATCCTATTTTCATTCTTAAGAGACAGCTCTTCACTTGAAGAACACTGTTTGTACTTATAGAGAACTAAATAGAAAAGATGTGTGGAATCTTGAATTTAGGGAGATTTTTCTCACAAACCAATCGGGAACAGGTAGAAAAAGCTATGAAACATGGGGAGGCTTTTAAAAATTCTTACACAAAAGTATACTTTAAACATACCTTCTCAGCATGACATTAACTAGCTTTTTAACTCACATAAATGAATATGGCCTAAACTTATTTTCTTTAGGGGTCATTTTATAGAAGTACCCATTATTTCTTTCAGTGATTCCCTGACCTGGTTTTCTGCTAAACTTTAAATGGCACAGAATTGAAATAATGTAGCAGGCTTTAAAAAAAAAAAAAAAGGAGACATTTATCTATTCACTCTTGCTGACACATTCACTTGGACACTAATCCAGACCAATGTATGTAATGAAAGTAGCTACTGAAAATGGAATGATTTTTCAAACGAGAGAACTGAGACTTAGGCCAACAAGACAAGAGCATGAAGTACTGATTTTTCACAGTCAAATCAAATAAATGCTCTTTTTAAAAGATACTGTCTCAGCTCACATTATCCATAAGGCTTCAAAAACTTTCCCCTTATGCACAAAAACGCATTTAATCTCCAAGGACTTAATTAATATTAGGCCCAACTACGCACTGATTTCTAAAACAACAATTCAAAAAGCATTACTTGGCTAAATAGTTGAATTAACTGCTTAAGTTTATTATAGTTTCTCTGAGTTCCACAGGTAAAAAAAGAAGGCCAAACCTGAGGTAGTTAATAGGGTGGAGCGCTGGAAGGAGACAAAAACTGGGAAGTGTTGGCCTGATAAGAAGCTTAGAAACAAATTTCTCCTAGGCTATCAGAAGTAATTTATTAGTGCTATTAGAGAGAACGTATTCCACGTCATCAATTTCCTGGTATTGCTGAGGAACACCAGGCATTGTGGAATCTGGAACTTATTAGTCTCTACCCAGCTCCACAAGGTCGGTGGCATCACCTACAAAATCCTGAAAAAGGATGAGTCGCCACAGTTCAAGGCTAGTTTCTGCTACTGGCTAAATAACGCAGTTAAAAGAGGTAAGTATATACCTCAAAGAGGAAGTTAGCATTAAAGATAAATATTTAAAGTACATGGGGAGGAGAGGCTGATAACCAGTCAGTCAGTCCTATTAATTCATATCTAGTGCTCATGTTGGCAAAATGTTAAAGTAATTACTAGTCTGGTTGTCAATTCTAGTAACTATTTTTAAGATTGGTATTGACGGTCATCAAAAATACATTTCCCTTGATAGAATACTCTGGATTTGTTTCAAAGTAATCCAAAGGAGTAGGAGTGAGGAAGTCAGATGTAAAGAGTATTGCAGCTGAATGATGCATACGTGAGGGTTCACTGTACTTTTCTCTCATTGCATAGGCTTGAGATTTTCTATAAGAAAATTCCCTAATGCTTAATCTCTCGAAGATAGACTCCAGTTTCATTTAAAAACTTTTAAGAGTATAAGAGGAGAGGATGTTACTCTCAAACTAGTACAAAGGTATACACTAAAAACAAAAAGAAAGTCCAATGCTCCTGAATTCTCTATGCAAAAACTAAGGATTAAGGACATACAATCTAAATGCTAAAACAATCTGGTATATAGTTAAATCAATAGTTCAACAACTTGCAAAGTGTAATACAACTAGTAAAACGATCATAAGGAATTTAATGAATCCACATGGGAAATATATGTACATGACATGGACTAGTTAGAAAGGAATACAAAAATAGGTTCTGGTGGTAGAAATGTAAATGAGAACTTGTTATAATGCTGATTTATGCAATATCAAAAAATAATAACAAAAAGACACTTGGCCTTGCAGCTTCCCAATATTGCACACAGAAAGAAGCATCTCCAAAGTGTGTCTGCAGCACAGGGACCACACTAGGAACACTGCTGAACACCACGGAGACCCTAGTAGCACTAGGAATAGGACCACACTGTTGCTAGCTAGCTACAAGGACGAGTCCTCAATACAGAAGAGAGCTGTTACCATAAACCCATCATTTGCTATTCATTAGCATTGGCATGCACAGCATGTAAATGCTAGACAAGCACTTTTTCAAGTCATTAATAACTCTGTGGGAAAACCAATCAAATAAAATACAGTCTAGAGAAATAATAGTAAAAGTTCGTCAATATTTGGGGACAGAATAGATCAGAAAGCTGTAATGCCCACAAAGAAAAAATTGGTCCAGCTTTAATATAGGAGCAGTTACCCTTCTCCTTTTAATATGACATTTCTGCACAACTAATTTGTTTTGTTTTACTTTGTTTTTAATCTTGAAAAGCGTTTTCCACACATCCCTAATGAAGCTCAAAACTAACATGGACTTTTCAATTCTTTCATGTGCCAGCATGAAACACAGTTTGGACCTAGAAAACATCACCAGGTAAGCATCACAAATTGCACGTGGGTATTGACGTTCAATTCTGTACCCCGCAGATAAGTACAATCAACTTTGTTACAATAAAAAGAAAAAATAACTTCATCTTCAGTAAGTATCACTGCAAAAAAAAAAAATCACAAGCTAGAGGTAGGACAGTATTACAGAGGACTATTCTTTTTTAAGCCTTGAAGCACTGTTTACATACCCTCAGGACTGATGAAAATATGGTTGGTTTGTGGTCCAACCTTCTCTGCCTGGACTGGGCCCTAAGTGGCCCACAAGTTACTGAAATGTCCACTATATGCTCTTTTTGGTCAAAGATGTAAGCAGGGTATGAGCAGAGAGCTTCTCCACCTACTATGGGATCAAAATACTGCCTTAAAGAGACAGATGGGAATGGCTTCTATCCAGAAAGGTAAATTTATAAAGTATATACACTACGTGAGGTAATATTATGTTAATTATCTTGATTTGGCCATTCTACAAAGTATACAAATATTTCAAAACTCAAGTTGTACACAATAAATATATAGGATTTTTACTTGCCAATTTAAAAATAAATTTAAAAAAAGAAAGAATATATGATCGATCATCTCACAATTCTCCTATATATACCAAACAAACTAATGAACAAAAAATGTTTTCGCTACATACTACTTCCTAAAAAAAGAATTAAAAAACCTGGAGTCCAAGAACCATCTGCTTTAGCCTTGATACCATTTACTAGCTGACTAAAAATTAAGAGCCACTACCTAGCTCACAGGATTAAAGCTAATAAAAATGAAGCTGCTCTATACACTACTCTATAAGTATTACTACTAAGTAAACAATAAAAGGAGACAAGAAGAGAGTTAGTAAAAGTGAAATAATATCTTACAAAAAAAATGGGTAACTATGAATTTATTAGTGTTCACTTAATTACCAGGATAGAGTTCAACTCTAATATTCTTATTTCCTTATACTTACCATGACAGGAGGTCCAGATTAGGAGGAAAGATCCCCGTCTCTTCTTAAGTCTGATAAGGCTCTTCTTTCCCTTATGCTGAGATCTTTAAAAAAAAAAAAAGGGGGGGGGAGTGGGTAAAATTGGCAAGTTTTTCCTCTAATTGGCTATAGCCTAATTAAAGGGATTATATATACATGGGCCTAAAAACCTGATCAGAGTCAGCCAAGAAACAGCTGAATATCACCTAGCCAATTCCCCACTAGTCAAATCCAAACTCAACACTTTTATAAAAATCCTTCCAGTCTTAACATATTTCAGCAAAAAAGTAGCAAAGGCTAACATTCCTAATGTTGATACAAAAAATGTTATAAAAACTTAGGTAAAAATAGTAAAGCAATAATAATTAAAATCAATCTGCAAATGCAAAAACAATATTGTTAAAGTATTTCAGGATGTTTACATGGTTATCTGTAAATTCAAAATGGATCCCCCAATCTATGGGAATCAAACTGACTTAGTAAGCAAAATACAAAAAGAATTGGCTTATTACCTCCAACACTCTATGCTCATTTGAAAATTTACAAAAACCTTTACCTGTTTTGTGTTTTTTTTTGTTTTTGTTTTTTGGGAGCTGGACGGTATAGGGATCTGAACCTTTCACTTTTGGTGTTACATCATGTTTTAACCAACTGAGCTAACTAGCCAGCCCCTACCTGGTTTTTCAGAACAATAAAATAGAAGCAGGAAGAATACCCAACTAAAAACCCAAAGATAGGCTAATAAAAGCACTTTCATCTTTAATAAGCTGCTCTTTAAAAAGGTTAGTTTCTTTTCTTTAAAAAGGTTAGTTTCATGCAAAGCCAACATTTCTGGTTTGCTAAACTCCCACAAATAGAGGTTATTTTAGGGCCTGGGCTTTAACATTTAACAAACTCTTTAAGAGTAATGTAAGTGAGAGAACAGAGGATATCAAAGAAGTAGCCGGGCCCATATCGTGTGGAGCCACTGGGGGGCTGTGAGCAGAGCAGTGGCATGAGATGATTACTTTAAAGGATCACTCTGGCTGCTGTGTGGAGAATAGAGGAGGCTGTTGGGTAGGAGCAAAGGAGAAAGCAGGGAGACCATTAGAAAGGTACTTCAATAATTCAGGCAAGAGACAACAGTGTTTATAGGGCAGTATTGGTGGAAGTTGTATGATGCTCCTGGATTCTGCATATACTTCGATAAATATATAACAAAACTTGTATAGAATCAACCAGTTGATGAGGGAAGTATTCCATCTAATACATGAAGAAGGAAAGACAGAATTAGACATCACTATTTTACAACTGCTAGTGAAATACAGAATGCAAATAATGATCTAGTCTATGGAAAACTACAGAAAAATAACCCAAACTATAAAAGTAAACCGCAAGACAAAAGAAAGAGATGGAAAGGAAACTTATACATTAAAAGTAACTTTAGTGACCATGTCAACCAACGCTAATATAGGGATCTTCTCTGGATCCTGATTCAAAGTACAAAAATAAGTTGAGATTTTTAGGGAAATCGGAAATCTTACAATGCACTAAAGTTGTTGGGAACTAATCTAAAGAGCCTAAGTCCTAGCTGTCATAAAGCCAGTATTTACACAGTAAATAAACACATCAATATGCATTTAGTATCTTCTAAGATTTTTTTTTTTCTCCAGAGAAATTGGGGGCGTGGGGGGTGCTGGCCTACAGAGAAATTTAAAGAAAAACTCTCACAGGCATCATAGAGTTAGGCATCCCAACTGAAATGTACTCATTTGCAGTGACACTAAATTAGAAATCAAATTCCAGTTACAAAGTAAACTCTCAATCGGCAGTCATATCATATACACATAAGCTATCTTCCCAGTCAAGCCTAATTTTTTTTTTAAATTTTTTTTCCTTAATTTTATTTTGTCGATATACAATGAGGATTATTGTGGCCCATTACCGAAACCCCCCTCCCTCCCACCCAACAATGTCCTTTCTGTTTGCTTGTCGTATCAACTTCAAGGAGTTGNTATTATTTGCCAAGAAGCTAGGAAAAAAAATTTACGTTTTTGAAAGAGTGTAATAGAAACAATAAGAGTATACCTTAAGATCATAAGACACAAAACAAATTAACGATTATGATAACATAACCAAAACAGTCAGACTTATACAAAGCACAGTAAATACATGAGGTACACACTATAATGTTAGTGAAAAGAAGGCATATCGATACATGGAGCTAAAAAGGTATAAGAAAATATTATTTCACACTAATTATAAAATTTGAACTTTTAAAATAGCTGTTTTGTTAGGAGACAATTTATAATAAAATACTCAAGAAATATTTAATAAAATGAATACAACAATAGCAATTTTAAAGAATGAGTTAGTGTTTGTACAATAAGATAGTAGACCGAGGAAAATTTATATATAGTTTTACATAGTAGTTTATCATATAGAACTATTTCCACAATATAAAAAATTGTGTATTTTACCCAATTTATATTATTCATACAAATTGGATATCAGAAAAAGGTTATACACAATCAACAACATTCACAGATGATTTACATGTACATACAGATCCAATAATTCTAAGTAACTGCAGAGATGATATCGCAATTTATTTAATGAACAAAATTAAGTAATCTAAAGTTTATTAAATACTAAAACATTTATAAGTTTATTTCACTTGATACTAAACATAAAAGAAAAATGTTTTCATAGTTACAAAACAATGTAAAAACATTAACATGAATTCATGAAGGGAAGGGTACCTAAACATAACTGTTATCTAAAGAATTTCTTATATAATAAAATGATCAAATATAATTCTGTAGTAATTATTACTCTGGATAGAGCAACTTCAGACATATATTTGGAATGACAAAATTATAGTGGTTCACTAGCTATTATGCCTTGTATTCAAAGTGTTCTCAGTCAAAGGTTAGGTCAATGCAATAAGAAAAGGAAAACTTAATGAAGATAAAGCATGGGGAAGAAATAAAAGTGTTATTACTTACAGATCCTGTGATAATCTACAGAGAACACATTCAGGAGATTCAGTAGCATCAATGCCCAGTTAGGATATAAGGTAAAAACACACAAAAAATCTATAAACATATGTACAAATCTGTTATGGAAAATGTTACAAAATAATATTGTAGTCCATAAAATGCCTGAAGAAATGCAGTAATAAACATAGAAATGCTAGAAAACCTCAATATCAGACATGATTTAAAGTTTTCCTGGAAAATCGAAATACTTAAAAAGAAAAACACTTGCATAGCCAAGACAATTATAAAAAATAATAATAAGAAAATGGGTGAAATCTACTATTAGTTTTCATTTGTTATAATTTTTGCTTAGCAAACACATGTGTTGTGTTTATATCTTTCCAGGCCCTATTCTACAAAAATTCGCTCATTGAATCCTCATTAAAGCCCACTGAGGAAAGCTGTATTTGATTTTACAGATGTTGAAATTAAGGCTCAGTGAGGTTCCAAACTTGCCAAGTGTCAGACACCTGCTTAGTTATGAAGTTGCTATGGGAATTCAGAAATCTATCTTGGGAATCAGTTCTCTTCTATTAACTAAATATTATTGAATTGGCTTATGAAAATATAAATTAAAAAAAAATTAAACATTTAGAAACAGATTGAAGCACATTTATAAAAACAGCATAAAGCAGGCAAAGGCATTGGTGAAATGCAGATTTGTTAATAGGTAGTTTGAGGGAAACTGCCTTATATGCAGATAAAGAAAATAAAATTTTTTTCTCACACCAGATAATAAATATAAATTTAGAAGTGATTAAAGTCCTAGATATGAGGGGGGGAAATCTGTTGGGCCATGTTGCGGCGCAATCAAATCATAAGGCTCCTGCCTAAGTATGGTTCCTGTTCCCTAAAATAGATCAAGCGGTGGCCATCTTGCTGGCGT